GTGTGAAGTGCTTTGAGTGTCCTGGATGGATAGAAAGGTGCTATATAAGTACAGTCCATTTACCATTTACCTTCTCCTCTCTGTCAACGCTCTCTGGTTTCATTTAAAAGAGTCGATCATCAGATATTGTCCAAGATTAACCTTCAGGGTGGATATAGCCGAGGACCTATCCACGTCATCATTTACCCAGAATGCTTTGTGTGTAAATTAAATGGAATAAACTTTTAGTTTAAAAATGATAAAAACTGAACATCCTACAGTATTCTCATAGTTTTTATTTCAAGCAGGGGTCTCTGCAGAACGTGTTGTCCTGTGGGCGGAGACGGTCCAAATCGTCATTGGCCGAGGTCTTAATGTGGGYGGAGATGGCTCTACTYGTGATTGGCGGAGGTCTTGATGTGGGCGGAGACGATTGGTCAGATTGACGGTGGGGTTGTAGCTTGGTCGAGTCGGGCAGGAAGCAACATGTTTTTTTACATTAATTTTAGTCATAACTTGAGAAATGAAAATGCTACCTGCACGAAATTTGAACGTGGTACATGTGAAAGGATGTGTAACAATATGGTTTGGTTAAAACATCCCTAACCAGCCTATAAAAATATATTGATTTTTAGCCATCTTTTTATAGGCTGGTTAGGGATGTTTTAACCGAGCCATATTGTTACATATCCCTTCACATGTATGACGTTCAAATTTTGTGCAGCTAGCACTTTCCATTCTCAAGTTATGACTAAAATTAATCTTAAAAAATATGTTGCTTCCTGCCCGACTCGATCAACCTACTCCCCGCTGCCTCCAGCCTCAAACCCCACCGTCAATCTGACCAATCACGTCTCAAGCCATCTCCGCCCACAGGACAAAATCTACTGCAGAGACCTCTTACTCCTTGATTTTACAGTTAAAATAAAAAAAAGTTTATTAAATAAAGTCTAATGTTACAACTAACTGGGGATCCCTTTAAGTGTGTGAGAGTATTATCAACATCTGCCCTCATCTCAAGATCTGGAGATTTTCTTCTACAAGGAAGTCGACACATTTAGAGACAAAAAAAGAAGCACAAAGATGGAACGGTGGAAATAAATCTGTTATGTCCTGTAAAGATTCAAACATCAGATCACAGCTGCTGGCCCTGAGCCTGCAGAGTGTGGACCCCCTCTGCCTGTTCTAACTGGTTCTCCAGAACCAGCAGATTCAGTCTGGGTCAGAGCAGACTACCGAACTGTGTCATGTATCATCAGGGCCTCCTCCATCACTACCAGCAAAGAGCTGATGTTAGACCCTGTGGTTCTTACACCCTGATAACARAAACAACACTGATCCGTCTCTATACAACATTGGGATGGCCATCATTACCAGGCCTGGCCCACATCTGGTTGCTGAGCCAGCMGTGCCAGCTTGACACCAGAACTGGCCCACACCTGTCTGCTTGTGTGGGTCATACACCTGTCACAATGTGACCACTGTCCAACTTCATCAAGTGCTGCTAAAGCTGCCTGATGTGTCCCTTTGTGTCTGCTGACACATTCATTCAAAGTTAGACTGAGTGACAGAAGCTCTGGCGCCGGCCTGATTCTCTACTGATGACACCACTTACACCAGTGGTTCTCCAGTCCAGTCCTCGTGAGCCACTATCCTGTATGTTTTAGTTGTTTCCCTGCTCTTCAGCAAGTTCTGCAGAAGCCTTCCAATCACTCGCTCATTTAAACCAGGTGAGCCAAAGCAGAGGAACAACTAAAACATGCAGGGTCGTGGGTCACAAGGACCAGAATTGAGAACTTTATTATGGTGTTGAATTGTAAGGTCCAGCTTGGGTTCAAACCTGGGTTCTGCTTTTACATTTGCTGTTATGGCCCACCTCCAGCGTGAATTCTGGACCCCAGGGACCTGGGTTGTATTGAGGCTGGGCTGCCTCGCTATTTTTTAGATCAGTGTTTCATCAGTGTTTAGATCAGTGTGAGTCGGGACCCCACTTTGGGTCCCGAAACATCAAGGTGGGGTCCTGAAAAGATTTTCTGAATTAATTCCATTTTTGTCTTAGTTGT